TCAAACTTTTTCAATAGTATTTTGTGTACAAGTTGATACACGAAACCAATGGAAATAAATAGACCTAAAGCTAGAAATAGGAAAGGCAATTTCTTTCATCCTGTTCTTAGACCCCGGATGACTGCTTATTCAAACTTTTTCAACAGAGCTGAGGAGTTGTGATTCTGCAATTTTCGCTTAGCTTTTTCACAAATTATCGTCTCTGATATACTGTTGTCAGCCAACTGCTTTTGGTTGATCCAAATCAGTAGCAACTTTTCCACTTCTTCTAATGTCTGAGATCTTTGCTTGGTGATCACCGTCACTCCTTTGTCAACCTTAGCTTCTTCTATTGCTTCCTTGTTCTTAATGATGGTACAAATCGACAGCTGAAACACGAGCTCCGTTCTCATGCTTTCTTATAATCTTTCTTCACTTTTATTGTTGTTCTCAATATTTTTCTTTCCTCCTTTCCACTTTCACTAGCTTTTTTATGTCCCATGGTGATTTAAGGAATAAACAAAAATAAAAGAAATAGTACAGTGTGAGAAATACCGGCAAAATTAGCGTGGGCTGAGACTGATGCCAAACGCTCAGTCACTCAGTGATCACTTGCTGCACGCCCATTGTTGGCTTGTTCGGGAACCGAGTTATGGTACGACAACCGGAGTAATTTTTGCCTACAAATTTTGTTCATGAACCGAATAGTTAGAAAAAGGGAGGCGTTCGACAACCGAGGTTGCACCGCGCAGGGAAAAAGAAAAGTCTGACCCCATTTTTATTTACATGAAATCCAACACTGAAACGTCACTGGAAGGCACTGAGGAGTTGAGATGCTTGACTGTTAAAGACACTGTTGTAACCATACTGATGACGGCAGCACCCGACTGTACTATTGCTATGGCAACTTAATGAAATAATAAACACCGCCTCCTCTAGGATTTCTGCGCGACAGGACAGCACGTGGTGAGTCATCGGTGGCTGAGAACACACACATTGAAAGAAACCCACTTCTCCCTCACACTGATGGGTAACAACTTTAAGGGTAGTTACCGCATCTCCATGATGTAACGGTGTGAAATCCAAATATTAATTATCCAAACTACAAAACGGCCCAGTGATGAATCACAATGGCTGATGAACGTTTTGTGCCAAAACCATTGGTACCAGTGGTTTCAGTGCTGCGGCTTTTGTGTGCCGTAGCAGTTGGAAATGACTAAGAAACAGCGTGGGTTGTTTGTGCTACTTGCAGTTTTCACCTGGTTTCTATTAGCGGCAGTGATTTCTAATATCAACCATGTGAAACAATAGTTAGCAGCTATCATGCCTCCCCGCTGAACACACACACACGCTCGCAAACACACAGATTTATCCAAAAGCTACCACCCTCATTCAAAGCAGAGGGAGGAGGGACGCTGGGCAACGGTTCAGCTCTGTCTTTTATTGTCAGCAACAGGCTTAAACCTATATCAGACATATTCCCCTCGGGCGAAGGCTAACACTTAAGCACTGCTTTTACGGTAAAATACAACCTAGGTCTCTCTTTGTGCTGCCTGCTGTACATGACTAGACCCCTCTCATTTAATGTTATGGCAGGAAGTTGGAATATTTATCTGCTCCAGATGCTGTTTTAAGAAGCCGTACAGTTCCGTGGCTCAGCCTGATGCTCGTTATTCAGGGAGACAGAGGATGGTTCCATTCTTAGGAGGAATTCTGTTGTGCAATCAACATTGTTTTTTTTTTTGCACACAATACACTGGTGTAAATCTATGTTTACATATAACGGAACAACAGTTACATTCACTGTCTTCAGACTCTTACTGGACCACTCTGTCAATCACATGCTGTGTTTGGTCTGTTTAAAAGTGAGCACAACTAACATAATCTTTGTCTTGGTTGTCTCATATATTTCCAAGTATTAGAGGCGTAACTCATTTCTTAGTTTATAGGAGTCTCGTGGAAATGTTAATAAACAAAAAACTAGCCTAATTTAACACGGCGGATAAAGACAACTAAATAAAATGATACGACCGGCATAAAAACTGGTATTTTTTTAAATGTAATAATAAACGTTAAGACTCCATTAGCAGCGTGCTTGGTGCGTGGGAGGAACCTGTCGCAATAAATCCATATTTCAAGTAGGACTCTTAGGACTTAGGCTTTAAGCACCATACTCAGAGCACCTCAGTGGCAATTTGGCAGCTGGTGGATTCAAACCCAAAACCTCCCAGACTCAAGTCCGCTTCCATAACCACTAAACCACTGTTTTTTAAAGACATAAGGTCTTCTTCTATCTCCTACCTGGCCTGGTACCAAATGACCCACGGACCGGTGATGATTTATCAGATCGAGCCACAGAATTAACTGTAGTAACAGGACATAAAAAATGATCCCTATCCCCGGAGGATGTTTTTGTAATAGGAAAGATAAAAACGGGAAATCATTTTTTCCCCATAATTCATACCATGGCTTACAACATCCCAGTTTCTATAATGCTCGCCTAATGCAATTCAAGTGTCCCACCGCCCGCCCCCTTTCTCAGTCAACTACTTAATAACACCCCCACCACCGGTAGCCCTCCACCGCATTTCAGCATAACTTTATGTTTTTATTGGGAAGTGATTAGCGTGCGGTGAATGCACTCTGAGTCGAGATTTGCATACGTGATAACCGCGTGACATTCGGCTTCAGTGGGACAACATTTGGCTCAATGACAACAAAACCAACCATGACCGAAATCAATTCACTCTGGTGAATGCCCATGTCAATGAATGACAACGCTACATGAATGAAGCCTTGCAATATGCCGATGCAAAATACTCTTAGAAGACCGGACCTTGACATGAGCAGGACGGGGGTCTCTTCATGTGCCCTGAAGTGTGGGAGGAAAGCAAGTAGATAAAGAAGAGAGCGAGAAGACTGCAAGACATTGAGGAAAGAAAAGAAGTATGCTAAAGTATCCTTTGGTGCATCCTTGCGAAGCTCCTCTCTGCGGCCGGACCCGATTGGCTAAGCGCGGTGAGCCTTGGTGTTTTTAACCAGGGCCGGCAGAGACAGACAGCTGCTATTAAACCCTGATTGTTTCAGGTTCACAGGGTGTGAAAGGGTCTGATTGAGGGGCTGTGATCCCAGTGAGGGTGGTCTCCCCCGTCTCATTCCCTCCCTCTAACCTCCCCCTTTCTGGAAGGTGGGAGGAGGGGGGCGGTGAGGAGGAGGAGGAGGGGAGTGTTGGGGGAGTTACAGGCATCACGTGACACATGTTTCTCGCTGAGAAGACCAAAATGGAATCTGGACAAAAACACACCACTTGTTGCTGCCTGCCTTCGGTCATGTGTGGGTGACGCGAGCGTCGGGCGACGGTGCCAACGGTGAAAGTCTGTTACATCATCATCCGTGTCATCGGGGTCAAAAGGGCTTGCGGAACTCATACTGGGATGTTACCTGGCTCTGGTTTAAACCGACACTCAGGGACGACCACTTCTGGTCCCGACAAAAATAAAGAACTTCCAAATCAACAGTAATCAGCCTGATAGAGACTTATCACTGCGGTGATAAGGCCGTGATAAACCTGATCTGTTCTCTCCTGTGACTGGCTGTCAGAGGACAGTGCTTCCTGTATGGTCTATTTGTTTAAGAGCATTCCCATTAAGGAGCCTTTTGGCCTTAACACATTTGATAAAGAGCAGGGAGGGCAAGGAAGCTCCCCTGCAGAGCTTTACACATGTGGCCAAAGGGCAAGTGCACTTTCCTCACATCAGCCTTGAGAAGGGCCCCGAGAGTCTCCCTGCAACGGATTATGTCCAATAATCTGTATGAGAAACAGCACTTTATTAAATTCCTCATACGACCAGGCTACGATGCTTTCGGAATGTCTCTTAAAAAGTCTCCCAAACTCAGATCCTTATTTGGCTTCTTGCTGTAAAAACAACGGGTATTTTTTTTTTTTGCGAAAGAATATCAATTCAAATCATGGTGAACTGTTATTGTCTCTACTCCTTATGTTTTCAGTTAAAACGTCTTCTGTGTGTGTGTGTGTGCATATGTGTGTGTGTGTGTGTCCCAGTGCAAATACTGTTGAGGAAAGTCGTAGGACTGTGTGCTCAGCACTTCTCAGTGTCACTTTGGGATAAATAAGTGTTTGGCTCCTCCATTGACTCCGGTGTTGACTCTCTTGAGTCCACTACATGAAGACCAGCGGCTTAATCTTTGCACATTAACAGCTACACTCACCTCTCGCTGAGTCAATTAGATGACCCTCAATAATCCACCACAGATTAGAGTTGGACGAGGAAAAAGGGGGGAAAATGGGAGACGTAGCAGTTTAATGGCGACCATTAAAAATTCATAGCCACAGTTACGATAATCACTTCTTCTTCTTCTTCTTCTTCTAATAATCACCTCTTCTTCTGCTGCTGCTGCTGTTGTTGTTTTTGGTGGTGTCCGGATTTTTAACACACATTTGCAGAAGTCATTTACACCTCAGGTATTTTAAAGGTTGCAAGAAACAGCTGTTCCTTGCTACACTTATCTGGACCAGATGATTTTTTTTTTCTCTTGAGAATGCACCGGCACCAGATCCAAACAGAACAGAACAAGGATTTTCCAAAGACTTGGAGGAAGGAAGGAAGGATTTTTTTTCATATGTTTGGATGTTTTGGTTAGAGAAATCCATGGTTCCATAAAAACACACACACAACAGTAGGATGAAGTTTTTAAAAAAAAAGAATCTGTGATATAGCACGACTTCAAACGTGGATTTGTTACAACGTAGGTGAAGTTATCAAATCAATGCGTAAAAGTCAAATAAACAATGCGTAAAAGTCGCGCACCATCACTTCAAGAGGAACGGTCAGAGGATGACGCTGATTATCGTACCGTAGTTAATCGTTATCGGATTTTTTTTTTCTTCTCCCACAAAGTGTTTCCGAGAAAGATTTTATAGACAACTTTTCCAGCATGCCGACAACAACTTTTTTCCCTGTCAATAAATTTCGTCAACTCGGTTGATTAGCGGTGCCTACCTCAGTGCGATGCAGGAGAAGTGAGCATTAAACTTTCTGACTGAATCCCCACAGTCCTGGGAAGAAAGAGTCCCGAGGATCCAGGCACGGAGAGCGGTCTGAGTTCCAGTAAAGCCTCTCTTCTCCCTCTTTCTCTTCTCCCTCTTTCTCTCCACTTTGTGCCAGACGCGCTCGGATGGAGATGAGTCGAGTTCTTCTTCGCACAAACCGTACACTTTTTTTTCTTATCCCCGCGTTCACAGTCGCTTTCCCGGTACGTTCTCTCGCTCCAGAGTCACTTTCGGCTGTCGAACGGTGACAAAATTGAACCCCATGTTCGGGGTGTGGAATCCCGCAAAGCGCCTTGGAGTTTGGCTGCACAGCCAATGCGGGAATGCGCACCCCCTTCTCCTCCCTCCCCCTTTCTCCACAGTCGGTGGACCACCCCGAAACAGGAAGTTCACTTTTTGTTTTTCTTAAAATAAAATAACCGGCTGCTGCTACATCAGCTGCTCCCAAAAACTTTATTTTCTCAGGAATTCCACACACATACTTGACTCACATCCGTTTCTTATATATTAAAAGATTTTTTTTTTTTTTTTTTGCAAAATAAGTTTAAGGCGATGCAGTGGAGTTACGGAGAGATCGGGACATGTTTACTGGCTACCTGTGTGTGTGTGTGTGTGTGTGACTGCACTGTACCCGTTAATTGGTGATGTTTATAAGTAATTATGTTCATGCTAACGGTGAAACTTCGGAGCTGATTCACGGCCAGTGTGTGTGGCACAGCAGCAGCAGCAGCAGACCTACGTGTGTGGATGATGCTGCTGCAGGATCAGTGTGGTCCAACACAAAACCTGGACTGGAGTCAGCCCCAAACTCCGGAGCGGGTTCTGCAATCTACATCTCAACCGCTGGTGTCGTGTTCTGGCACACGTGTTGTTCGTCATGTAAAAACATAGGAGGGTATAGTTATGCTTTGGTAATTACGGATTTTTATCTTTTGTCTCCCCTTCTCTACGAACGGTTTGTGACGCGATAAACAAACCATAAACGCAGTTGTATGATTATCCTCTTCATGGTGCACCAGGAATGTAGCCTTCTTCTACATAATAATAATATATATATGATATTATTTTCTTATCTGTACAAACCTGTGAGTTTCTGCCACCTAGTGGCTGGAGGCCTGTTTATCCTTCAAGCATTACAGCCGCGGCACACTTCTGTCCAGCGTGCCATATTCCATTAGAAGCCTCTCACATCGAACCCCCGCCTCCTCGACCACTTTGGCATCTTAACGCGCCTCCCAGGGGGGGCCCGCCCCGCGATTTGAGAAGTACTGTTCCACAGTAACTGTTCGACTCAGTTCAGTTCCGATAACATATGATGATAACATATGACTATATCCATCCATCCATCCATTTTCATCCGCTTATCCGTTACCGGGTCGCGGGGGCAGCAGTCGCCACCCAAATCACATTGCACCGTACCAAACCTTCCTGCGGGTGGTGAGTCCACTGGAAGGTACCAACCGCCCTAACCGGGATTCGAACTTGCCCAGGAGGTGAACCCTGGGGTTCCACACCAATGACAGAGACATTGCCTCTGGGCCAAAGCGCCACCATATGACTATATAATAATAGTTTTATTAACCTTTAATGGGCCTTGGTGTTATACTCCATATACAAACTGAAAATGAAATTCACAGTTTACTTAACATTAAAAAACAATCTCCATAATCTGTTCGTTTATTCTCCAGGTTGTCCGATTTCATTTGCTGAGTGACATCACAAATCATTAGTCATATGAATCCTGCCCCCCCCCCTCCACTCCCACCTAAACCAAAAGCTAATCACACTTGCTAATGTAGCGCAGTGCTAAATGATTCAAAGATATATAAAGTAAACACAGGAGACACTAAAAGTAGTTCGTCCAAAGTGAAAAAAAAATCCGAACGGCTGGTTCCTCAGTAGACCGTGGCCGCTGTTCCCCTCATATGTGGCTGGAAAAAGAGGAGTTTTTTTTCCCCCTTAATCTGTGAGTCTATTTACGACATTGTTAACTTTAGACTGTATTATACCAGCAGACAACATTCCTTTTTTTAACCATCAGAATTGTTTTGGTTAAAACTGGGAAATTAATTTGTACACCCCACACTTCCTGTCTTCCTGTCTTATTGTGGCCAGGGTAAACCAGACCCTGTGCCGGATCTGTTCTCGGAACCATATGTTGTCCATGTGTGTAGTGGCACAGAGCATCCCGGTCTTGAAAGAGAGACCGAGACTTTTAAAGTTTTTTGCGACAAACTTCCAAGGCTCGTTAAGAACAAATATGAATACGATGTGACGTGGCAGTTCTTACAGCAAGAAGCCAAAATAGGGAGAAAAATAAAACAACAATTCGTCTAAAATATATTCTGTCACTAACATTTTCTGTAATGCACTGGTTCTCAAACTATGGTCTGCACGCCCCTGGTGTTACTCATGCTCCCTCTAGTGGTAAACAGAGAATATGTCTCATTCAAAGATTAGTTGAGTAACTTGTAGTTGTCTCACAATCTAATAAATCCATGCCTTTTAATTTAAAGGAATTATTTTGAGACTAACAAGGTTAACAATTGAATAAATATATAAACATAGAGAAGTTACATTATATAAAAAAATGTTTATTTTGATCCATATTTATCTGTGTATTTATCGTCTGTCTACTACATTAAAGAGTAGTGCGAACTCAAAGTACTGTAGTTGTAGTTGTCTCACAATCTAATACATCCATGTCCTTTAATTTACAGGAATTATTCTGAGACTAACAACGTTAATGGTTGATGATCAATATATAGACATAGAGAAGTTATCTTATATAACAAAATGTTTTTTAACTATATTTATCTGTGTATTTATTGTCTGTCTACTACATTAAAGAGTAGTGCGAACTCAAAGTACAATTACTGTTTTATTCAACATTTACCACTACACCCAGAGTCGGCCATTTTTTTCTGCCGTGTAGGTGAGTTTGTGGTTTGTCCAGCCCTTTTACCCCAAGACACTGGTCTTGTCTTCTATCATGTCGCTTTACACTATTCAATATAGGACAGATCTGACCTTACCCAACCCAACAGGCCACCCAGCTCCTGGTACAGACCATGGTTATCTCCCACCTCGACTACTGCAACGCCCTTCCAACAGGCCTCCCAGCCTGTGCTGTGAAACCTCTACAGATGGTGCAGAACGAAGTGCCGCGTCTCGTCTTCAATCAGCCTAGAAGGGCACATGTCACACCCCTGCTTATTGAGCCACTCTGGGTACTCGTAGCTGCCCGCATCAAATTCAAATCACTGTTGCTAGCCTACAGAGTACTTCATGGGTCTGCTCCTACCTACATGAGTACTCTGATAAAGCCTTATGTTGCTTTATGATCTTGCCGCTTGTCAAGGGAACGTCGTCTGGCTGACAGTCCAGGCTCCTTTCATTGGTCGTTCCAAGCACTACCAGAACAGGGGTGTCCCTGCCCGTCTTCAAGAAACTCTTGAAGACTCAGCTCTTCAGAGAGCCCCTCCTGTCCTAACACTCCCCTGTCCCCCTCCATCATTAGCTTTATCTCCTTTAGCACTTGTTTCCTAACCACTGGTCTCCTTTCAAGAGTTCCTTTATGTAACCTGATTGTTAATCTTCATCTTGTAAGTCGCCTTGGACAAAAGTGTCTGCTAAACGCATAAATAAATCGCTCAATGGGAATTAGGGATCTAAGGAAAGTGAGATCAAATGTGTTGTTAGTTTTTCAACAGTTTATTAAATCAGTGGCATTTTTTTACGCTATGTACTTGGCTGATTTTCATTAAATAGATACGTAGCCAATCATGTTCCAAAGGTAGCTGCAGTCACCTCCGGCCACATCTTGGTGGCATCCAAACTATAAAGTCACCTAATGGTTTAAATCACATGTCAAACTTAAGGCCCGGGGGCCAAATGCGGCCCACATAGTCAATTTGTATGGCCAGTGGGAGCAAAAAAAAAGAAGCATTTAATAAAGTCCATGCAGCAGAGTTTGTTAACCTGATAAATAAGAAGGTTATTTGAACAACATTTGTAATTTGAACAAATAATAATCAATTGCAGAAACATGTTTTAATGGAGTTAAAGGAGTAGTTACATCTATACAGTCTTCCATTTACAACATCCCTTTAATCAGATAGCAGCCGTAGGTGATCTGAATGATGCTGCAGTTACCCCTCGCCACCTCAGGGAGGGGGGGTGTGACTAGACAGATTTCATCTGACAATCGCCTCCAAGCTTTATGACATCCTTTAAATTAGTCCTAAATCAGATTCTCAACGACTTGACGACCTGAATGAGGCCGCAGTCCATTGAGAAAATACGGTCAGTGCTTTAATCAGATTTTGTCAATGAGAGTGGTGGGCTTTAGTCCCAGTTTAGCTGCTCCTTCAGCAGACCAGGAGGGAATTTCTGGATGTAAGTCAGCCCACAGATGCTGCAGCCATATGCTTCATCTGAGGCTGCTGAGAGAGTCCAACACGGGTTTCAGCCTGGATTACCACAAGGCAGGGATTAACCAGGAGAAGGAGACGTTTCATTGAGACTGTGTATACATGCGTTATTGCTCCTTGTAATATGTTTATTTCTGGGATTTTCCATGAATGGACGTGTGATTTTTTTATTTCTCCTTGGGCCGTATATTCAGAATGACAGTTAAGTGTCGAACCGCTGTGGAGACTTCCTGAAAACACACTTCAGATCAGCACTTAAACATAATTTCATACTATTTCAAAGTCATACCTCCATATTTCCTTCCCGGCTCCGAGTATTGTTTTCAGAGATGGCTTTATGGTTTGCAGAAAATGAAGTGAAGTTGTTGAGAGGCTTCAGAGTCGTAGATTTTTCAGCGTGGAGATTAGAAATTACAGGGCAGGAAAACCAAAAACTATCCAAATTTACGACCCTATCAACACCATGAAAGCACGATATTTGGAAACATCTGCCAGGGAATGTGGTTGGAACTTAAAAGACACTTGCATTTGCATTGCTCTAAAATTACCAGGGAGGGTCAAGTAATGAAAGAGTCAGTGAAACGCGGTCAAAGTGGACAGGTATGAATTTATTTATTGAATTGTTTAAAAAAAAAAAAAACGAGGCAAAAGGGAGAGGTTGAAAAAGTGAAAGACCTTCAACCCAAGGCTCCAGGCTGCACCGGCAGGCAGATTACAGACAGGTCAGTGATGTAGGTGAGTCAAAGCAAACGCTTGAGGTCAAGCTGTTCTTTCCAAGTGAAGATGAAAGCTACTAATGAGCCGTTGCTTCACGGTACAGGAATTTTGCCAATTTCAGTGGGCAAGAAATTGAGAAATGAATGTTCTTATGACTGGTGGTGCAGTTCTTTTATAGATTCTGTGTTTTTAAAAACCAAAATAAATGCACAGCAACACTTTGAAGTTTAAAACAAGTGCTGCATCAGTCGAAAGTGACAGACGACTGAAGTGTGAAGTGTGCGAGTATAGAAGGCTCAGGGAAGACCGTGCTGACCAAATGAGAGGCAGAGAAAGCATCTGTCACTAATGCTCAGGGCAGCTGGACACCAGTCCCTGTGCAGCAAAATCCTCCAAAATCTTTTACAGGATTTGTTTTTCCATTGCAGATGGTCTTTTGCACAGGTTTTCTTCTCATTGGCCCGGGGTCCCTGGGGCAGCAGTGCTGCAGCTCTGCCGCTGCTACATAAAAGGCTGCTCTGTGGCAGCTCTGGCCTCACCTCAGGCCCTCACACACTGACGATGGGGAGAAGGCAAAGCGTCCAGGATAAACAATATACACAGGAGGCAGGAGAGGCTGAATGCATGAATGTTGCATACCTCCGGTTACTGCAGTGAGTACACAGGTAGGAACCGCACACAGAAAATGTATTTTGTACTGTGCAGAGGGAGTGCATCTGTTTTTGCAGCATAGGCACAAAAAAAGCCGAAAATTCACAGCGGTGTCGATGGAAGTTTGGCATTCTG